GTTCAAAATGTCAACAAAGCGTTTGCTTATACATTACGGACTTTACATCACCTTTAATCCGGGCGCTATCCACGCACATTTTACCCTGAATTGATAATTTTACATGTGAAATTGAATTTCACATATGATCCTTTAATTTCACATATGAAACAATATGATGTGAAACTGAAATTGGTAATTTCGTGAAAGTCTTAAATTGTACGCACGAATGGTCATATAATATTCACACGTGAAATATCCCAATTCTACATAACATTTTCCGTAAGAGTATATGCTTCCAATTTCCCTGTAACATTCGCCATGTATACGTGTCTTAAAAACGAATTTTAGAATCCCACTTATACATGCGACGTGGTTAATGAACCCTACTTATGATTTGTTAATTAAAGAGTTTTCCTATTTTTCCTCCATATATAGACCGAGCAAACGGTAAAGTTGCAGCAAAGCTTGTAGATCTCGATGTAGAAGTACAAGGAACAATTTCTGAAATATATGGGCTATCCATAGATGTTGGAGGATTCTTCAAGGGTGATATGGAACGTGCTTCATTCCAGTCAGTTTGGTACAAATTGATAGATGGGCCGAAAAATCACCATAGCAGAGGCTCAAGGTTTCAGAGTGTTCTCCAAAATGTCCAATTTTCTGCAAAATATAGTGACTCGAAAATTGTTAAGCATTTAAAGGAAAACTTGGGACCGAATCGACAATTGTCTATATGTTTCAATATTGATTTGATGGGAGAGCGTCCTGCCTTTAACTTTAGTTTTGCTAGGATCGTAGGTTCAATTGGTTTAGCTGGAGAGAAGGCACCGCATTTCTTTGACTATGGACGTTTGTTACGTCGCTTACCAGCAACAAGGGAACTTAGCTACGCGCCATTCACCGTAGATGAAACTAGAAAGAAGATTTATATTGACTTAGGAAACTCTCTCGGTATTGGCAAAAATGGAGACATCTTAATTTCAGTTGGACAATTGGCTCTTGGCGTTTATGCAGGCAAGGCAGTAACGGGCGTAGATACTCCCAATTGTTTGGATAAGATTACATGGATTTCGAGAATTTACTACAACGAATATGGTGGATACACGTTCACTGCCGGCATAAGCGTAATCGATATACCAAGCCACCTGGAACGTAAACTAAATAAACAATTCGTTTTAGCGGAGGTAAGTAGCGGCTATTACTATAACAAGGAATGGGGAATCGGGGAAAGGAATCGGGGAACGGGGAATGGGGAATGCTAAAACCCGGAATACTAAAATGGGGAATCTCTAAAACCCCGAATACTAAAATGGGGAATCTCTAAAACCCGGAATACTAAAATGGGGAATCTCTAAAACCCGGAATACTAAAATGGGGAATCTCTAAAACCCGGAATACTAAAAGCCGGAATCTCTAAAACCCGGAATACAAAAATGGGGAATCTCTAAAACCCGGAATACTAAAAGCCGGAATCTCTAAAACCTGGAATACTAAAATGGGGAATCTCTAAAATCCGGCATGCTAAAAGCCGAAATCTCTACAAACCGGAATACTAAAATGGGGAATCTCTAAAACCGGGAATACTAAAATGGGGAATCTCTAAAACCAGGAATACTAAAAGCCGGAATCTCTAAAACCCGGAATACTAAAATGGGGAAACTCTAAAACCCAGAATACTAGAAGCCGGAATCTCTAAAACCCGGAATACTAAAAGCCGGAATCTCTAAAACCCGGAATACTAAAATGGGGAATCTCTAAAACTCGGAATACTAAAAGCCGGAATCTCTAAAACCTGGAATACTAAAATGGGGAATCTCTAAAACCCGGAATACTAAAAGCCGGAATCTCTAAAACCCGGAATACTAAAAGCCGGAATCTCTAAAACCCGGAATACTAAAATGGGGAATCTCTAAAACCCGGAATACTAAAAGCGGGAATCTCTAAAACCCGGAATACTAAAAGCGGGAATCTCTAAAACCCGGAATACTAAAATGGGGAATCTCTAAAACCCGGAATACTAAAATGGGAATCTCTAAAACCCGGAATACTAAAATGGGGAATCTCTAAAACCCGGAATACTAAAAGCCGGAATCTCTAAAACCCGGAATACTAAAATGGGGAATCTCTAAAACCTGGAATACTAAAATGGGGAATTATACTATCGGTGGATCAAAAATCAATTCTACAAGCGCGGCCAAGACTTGATTCTAATCTTAACCTATACAAGAACATATATTAAGACTTGCAGAGCTTCATTCTTTCATCTAAATAACATAAGGCGCATCAGGAAATATTTATCTAAAGAATCGACGCAAACACTATATCGGTTCAAGCATTTATTATCGGACGCCTGGAAGTTGCCTGGACTACTGCAATAGCCTCCTTTATGGCCTACCCTCAATTAATCTGGACAAACTACAGCGTGCACATAGCACATGCAGAGCAGTCTGCTGCGAGAATAATCTGAAGATTTGACCACATAATTCCTGTGTTATATACCCTGCATTGGCTGCCTATCAGATACCGCGTTACTAAAATACTTATTCTTATACTTTTAAAGCGATTCACGGCCTTGCGCTTGAATATATTTGTATAGTTTAATTAGCATCAGGGACCAATTAAGATACAGTCTTCGATCTAACAGTGGGATATATATTATTTCAAAAACTCATTAATAATTCATGAGGAAAACACAAAGAAAAATCATTAGCGTGGCGTGTCTTTATATGTGATAAAACACGCTTCAAATTTCAACTTACATTTTCTCAGCTAATCAACAAAGTTATTTTGGAAAATTATTTAGACAATGCCGTGATCTAACTGAGACGTTTTTGAAGCTGTTTAATAAACTCGTAGTTCGTGTTTTATCACATATAAAACACTCATACTCGTTTACTAAACATTAGCGACAGACATCTGCTGTTCCAACACTCTGGAATAAACTACCCGTACATATCCGTAACATTAATGATTTTACAGGTTTTAAGAACATTTTGAAGACTCCCTTTTTTGAGATTGCGTTTAACGTTTAACTAAATTAAATTAGCCCTAATCAGGTTTTATATATGTGTAAATAAGTTAGTAAATAGCAAGTAAATAGGAGTCCATATCAATTCCTGTGAAGCGCATTTGATCATATTTACATGCTAATTTGCGCTATATAAGTTTTAATTATTATTATTATTTTATTACTGTAAAAAAATGAATTGTGTTTTTGCTAGAATTTATCCTGTTCACACTGCCCCAAAACGACGCGATTGAGTTAACAAACTGGCTGAATGGAAAATGTCGATCTAGATTTAAAATATTAAAAAAAACTGAAAGTGGCTGAACTTGTAATGGCGCTAGTGTATTCATCTTTTTAGTTGGTATATACATGCATATTAAGGTTACTCCAATTACTCACATGATGGAAACTCATTTCACCAAAATGCTCACCGCGCGCTCAATTTTCAAGTTTTCCCCTTCAAATTTTGCATGCATAATGACAAATCATTGCTGTAGCTAAAGATTTGCCAAAAAATCTACACCTTTAAAAACTGTACTTGCTACGGGTTGCTTTTGAAAATATGACGGCCTTTGCGCCACGAGATTAGAACGCTTCTGATTTACCTCAAAGGCCTCCGAAACATAATATTTCCCATCTCAAATGATCAAAGAACAAAACCGTGTTCGCGTTTTTTGACAGGTATTATATTGCTTTGATATAAAGCAGAGAAGTTGACTCATCTAAATTTTGGGAGAACGGCAGAATAGATGCCTATAACTTGAAAAGTATGGCACTAAATAAAAAACGCGAACACGGTTTTGCTGCTGTACTATTGTTCAACATTGTGGCAAAGTTTGGAGTGAATCGGATAAAACGTGCGCGTATATTTCAATCTCCGTAAAAGACGATATTAGGTTTGGCGGGGTTTTTCCGCTCTCTGTTATCACTTCGAACTACAATCGGATTAAAATTAGTAAAGTGTGTTTTGGCAAGGGTTTTCGGTGTCATTCACTCATCATCAGTTTATCACAAACCGTACATGCGAAATGTAAAAAAGGGATGGCTATACAGACCGATCTAAATCGGCCAAACGAAAATACAGTTGAAGATCTGTCGTGAACCACGAAGACACAAGCGAGGTTGAAGGTCACACATCCGGAATCGAGTATCACATTTATCCACATATTGTCAATTACAATTACAACTTTCGCGGCAAAGGAATCAGTGGTTATAACATTTTTTGTTATATTTCGGACGCATTTTAATATTTTGGAGAAAAACTTCCGGCAATCGATAGATCTCCAGTCCCTGAATATAAATCAATAAAAATGTAAAAAATGATGACATCAGTGTTTTCATCATATAATGTAACCTTAAATATGTTCGATATAAGATATATATTAAGTTCTTTGTATGTTTGCATGGCGATAAAACATATAATAGTTTTGTTTGTGGAAACACCACGTAAATTTATTACTGAAGATCCGGGTAATAATAATAATTTATTGCTGAAGATCCGGGCTTACGGATCGAAAGCTTTGCAGTAATAAATTTATGTGGTGTTTCCACAAACAAAACTATTATAAAGATATATATTATATAACTAATTAAATTGGCTAAAAATTATATTATAATGACAGTTTTCCTTTTGTAATCCTTGATCAAAGCAAGACGTAACAAACGACGTTGGATTTGTATAAATTAAATGCATGGTTATCAATATAACCATGCATTTAATTCGCGTAAAAGCTAGCTGGTTGTGTTGTGACCACATATGGTATTCCGGCTTTTAGTATTCCGGGTTTTAGAGATTCCCCATTTTAGTATTCCGGGTTTTAGAGATTCCCCATTTTAGTATTCCGGGTTTTAGAGATTCCGGCTTTTAGTATTCCGGGTTTTAGAGATTCCCCATTTTAGTATTCCGGGTTTTAGCATTCCCCATTCCCCGTTCCCCGATTCCCCATTCCTTGTTATAGTAATAGCCGTTTTTTTATTGTGTAAACATATTCATCTGAGCTTGAATTCGTACCTTGTTCGTCTATTTGTTTCACTTGGGATCTTCGTTCATTGGATTTCTGAGGAAGCTTATTTTCACGCTGTCCAGCTGAAATTTTCGATTTACAACATCGTGCAAAATGGTTTTGCTTGTGACAATGGTTGCATGTTTTCCCTTTTGCCGGACAAACATTCACATGTGGCCAGCTTAATCCACAAAAGAAACATATTTTCTTAGGTGTTGTAGCAGCCGGATTTCGTCGTACGGCGTGGATATCTTTCATTGGTGTTTCATTCATATTTTGCTCAATTCCGCTCGCATCTTCTTCAACAGTTTCAAGTGTCTGTCCATAGTCTAAGAGTTCAGCCAAAGTCAGTTTTGGTTTGCGGAAAGCATATCGTCGAAGTTGTTTGGAATTGGTCCCTAGCTCAATTTGAGCTTTTATCTCAGTATCTAAGTTTGAGAATTCACAGTACTTAGCTTTCTGGACGAGTCGTACATGGTATTGATCGAGAGTTTCGTCAACAAGGTGGTTTGTTTTCCTGAACTTGAATATTTCAAACGATGTATTCTTGCGAGGTTTAAAGTGTTCATTTAAAGCTTGACACGCTTCGTCATAGTCGTCTTCTGTGCCTGTCTCGGGCAGTGTTTCAAAGATATTTAGAGTACTTTCACCGATATAGTATAATAATAACGCTCGTTTTCTTTCTTGTCTTTTATATCGAGTGCAATCAGTAGATTTTCGAATCGCATGAACCATCGTTGCCATCGAATTTCGATATTTTCCCGATTCTCGGCGTCAAAAGAAGCAAATTCTGGTAAGCTAGTCGCCATTTGAGGTACTTGTATATGAAACGATCCTCGTCGCCAATATAATGTTGTCTATAACATTGTTATCTATGCTTTCTTTAATAAGCTCTAACAGAACATAATCTTACAGTTGCATCTATATCGCCATCTTGCTTACTTCCTCGTGGTCCATAATTAATGTTTATTATGTTAATTATGCTAGACACTACACACAGCTAAAAGCCTCATCTTTTCGAATATGAAAAAAAGTGTTCATACGTCGAGTAATTCAGGTACAATAAGGCACTGAAGTTCGATTACCTTTTTTATACACCCTGTAAATAAACATGACATTAACGGTTTTCTATTGGATAGATTTAATTGGATATAGTAATGTTTATGCAAACGGGCGGAGCCAATTTGACTAGAGCGAAAAGTGGGCGTATTTCGTTTCTTGCTGTGTTGTCTGCGGTCTCTCATTTCTTCGAGGGACCACTTGCGGTCTAATAGACCAAAGTCTGAACGAACGAGTGAACGAATGATGCAGTTAGTATGAGCCGAACTATGGGAGATACGTTTCAACCAATACGTTACAACCTACTGACAAAATGGGCATGTCTTATTACGCTTATTAAGTACTTTATCAAGTTCAAACTCAAATTTCATGCGCATTTTTCTAGGCTAACCTCTATGAATTCGTAGTACTGCTATATCGTCATTAAATGTCGTTGGTCGTCTACGACTATATGGTTATGTAATATGTATAAACATGCAGCTACGAATTAAACATGCGAAACATTACGAAATTACGTGATCTAATTTCTTCAAGTTTGCAATATCTAACAGTTTGGTACGCTATTCGGTATCACGCGTGTAAACATGTATTCTTTCAGTCATTGCACGATCAATTAAGTGTTTAGGATTTTTTAAAGCATATTTCATAGTATAAATACTGCGGTTTGCAGAGTATGTGAAGGCAAGAATGTCTGTCGACATCACTTCTGTCATGAGCAATGCCCCGTTTCCTGTTGTTTGCTGTCGGCTGAGGCGTAATTTTGTACAGGAATAACTTTTTGTTTGTAGCATTGGGAATGTTTTTCACGTGAAGTAGAATACAAAATTTTCAATTTCAAGATTTAAAAAAAAATATATATCCTGGATTGCTGTATATATAAAAGGGATTAAAATGACAGGATTGACTGAAAATAACGAGAATGTTTCTGTTATATGTTTTATTCGTGTATTCCGTTGTACTTAGAGAATAAAGTAGAGAATATTTAAGACAATAACAAAATTACAACGCTAGACTTCATATATACGGGTAAAACAATTTCTCTAGGGCATCAAAAAAGATCGCTAGGATAGAATTGTCTTTCTTAATTTATAGTACGGAAATTTTGGAAACACCAGTCGTCTTATTATGGTTATTAATTTGTGATTATTGATTTCCGTATGACTTACGGTTAAAAAAATCCTCACAAAAAAGTTTGGATTCGGCGGTATGCCCAAATCCTGATTATAAGGCTTACTTTATATTAAACGTTATCATAATATATCATGTGCCAAACCTATTGTTTGAGGTTCGACAATTAAATTAAATTGAGCCTAGGAACATCCATGTCACAAGTACAACGGAATACACGAATAAAACATAACAGAAACATTCTCGTTATTTTCAGTCAATCCTGCATGTCCGTCCGCTTTTATATATACAGCAATCCAGGATATATATTTTTTTAAAAATCCACAAAATCACGATAAATTAAAA